TGCGTGAAAATGTACTTCAGGCTCTTATGATCAGTGTAAATTGTACACTGTGCCCTGTATAGATAGTGCCTCCATAACTTTAGAGCAAAGATCACCGCAGCCAGCTCCAACTCATGAGTGGGGTAGTTGACTTCATGAGTCTTCAACTGCCTTGATTCATAGGCAACAACTTTGCCCTTTTGCATCAATACGCTACCCAACCCTTTCAATGAAGCATCACTGTAGATCTCGAACCCCTCCGTCCTGGATGGTAGGGTCAAGACCGGTGCAGTTGTTAATCTCTGCTTCAGCTCTTGAAATGCCTCCTCGCACTCGCTACTCCATAGATACTTCGTCGTCTTCTTTGTGAGATTAGTCAAAGGTTTTGCTATCTTTGAGAAATCCTTCACAAATTTACGATAATAGCCCGCCAAGCCTAGAAAGCTGCGGACCTCCGTCACTGTTGTGGGTGTAGGCCAATCTATCACTGCTTCAATCTTTGATGGGTCAACGGATACACCTTCTTGGGTGATTATGTGGCCCAAAAAAGCTACCCGATCCCTCCAGAAATCACACTTTGAGAGTTTGGCATAAAGCTGATTTTCTCTCCAAGTTTGCAGCGCTGTCCTTAGATGTCCCTCATGATCCTTCGGTGTCTTGGAGTAAACCAAGATGTCATCGATGAATACAACAATGAACAAGTCGAGGTAGGGTCGGAACACACGGTTCATGAGGTCCATAAATACCGCAGGTGCATTTGTTAGACCGAACGGCATTACGGTGAATTCATAGTGTCCGTACCTCGTGCGAAAAGCCGTTTTTGGAATATCTTTGTCTGCAATTCTCACCTGATGGTACCGAGATCTCAAGTTAACCTTAGAGAACGTGCTAGCTCCCTTTAGTTGGTCAAAGAGGTCATCGATTCGCGGCAGTGGGTACTTGTTCTTGATGGTTGCTCGGTTGAGCTCCTGTAATCGATGGAGAGCCTCAGACTCCCGTCCTTCTTCTTTACAAAAAGGACCGGAGCGCCCCAAGGTGAGACACTCGTCTTGATGTAGCCTTTCTCCAAGAGTTCTTCAAGTTGTTCCTTCAGCTCCTGCATCTCCTTCGGTGCCATTCTGTATGGTGCCTTCGAAATCGATGCGGTGCCTGGTAATAGATCGATCGAAAACTCCACTCCCCTTTATGGTGGCATCCCCAGAATCTCCTCTCGAAATACATCTGGAAATTCATTGACCACAGGGATTTGGTCAATGGTCGGCTCCTCCGAGTTTGATTCTTTGATCACGCACAAGTAAACTTCACAACCCTTTCGGACGTATCGTTTGACTTGTTGCATAGTTGCTAGCTTCACGCCTGGCTCGGAGTTTATCGCCTTGTAGGATACACGCTTCTTGTTGGGTCCTTTCAAGACCACCTTTTGCTCGTCACAAAGGATCTTCGCCTTATATTTCCCTAGCCAATCCATGCCCAATACCACGTCGATATCCTCCAGATCAAACTGGATTAGATCTCCGGGTAGATCGGTGTCGGATATGACTATGGAAACATTTGAGAAAACACTCCCACAAGCTACGACTTTATTAGATGCCGTTTTTACTGGGGGTGAGATCGGTCCGGTCTGGGTCGGGTTTTTGCTAAACCCGGAAATTACCCGGAAGGTCTCGGGTTATGAAAATTAGGGACCGGAACAAAGCCCATCATATTCGGTCCGAGTCGGGTTTTTGGTAGCCCGGGTTCGGTTTGGGTTCGGGTTGGGCCGGTTAAAGCCCGAACGTGAACTATCTCATTGTTCTTTTATATTTTAACACCTATTTTCAACACCTATTTTCAAATAAAATTAATGAAAAATACAAACCGCAAATAATAACACAAATATTAGTCTTCAAAATCACCAACAATTCAAATTCAAATAAGATAATTATCTTAATATTTTATTTAAGATGCATATAAATAAATAATATAGGTTTCTTAAAAATATTACCAAATAAAATTTATAGATAAAATTGTGAATAGAGTTCCTATAAATATATTTTCATGGTCATTATGCTAAACAAATTGAACATATTTGTTGTCACTAAAAGTTACTAAATCATTTTTTTATCCACCATGATTATAATCATATATTAGGGAATATTTATAAATTTATATTCATATATTATATTAATTTTATATTAAAGCTAATTGTTTCGGGTTTTTTCGGTCCGGGCCGGGTTATAGATTTTAAGGCCCGTTAATGAGCCCGGAATTTTGAGTTCGGTCCGGGTATTTTTAATTCGGGCCGGTTAAAAAGAAAAAACCCGGACCGAGGTCATAATTCGGGTCGGTCCAGGGTTGGTTTCCGGGTTTCGGTTCGGTTTTTCCCACCCCTAGTTTTTACATTTAAATTTAGTCTAGTGGTAGGTTCTAACTGTAATTCCCCCACAAGTCTAGAGGATATGAAACTATGGGACGCACCCGAATCAAACAATACATGTGCAGGCGTCGAATTTAGAAGAAATCTACGTGACACAACGTCGTGGGCATTTGCTTGAGCTTGATTCATGACATAAATCCGGCCTTGGTTGTTGTTCCGCCCTCCTTGGCCTTGGTTACGGTTGCCTTCTGCCGGACGGTTTTCGGGATTACCACGATTGTTGTTTTCGTGATTACCCTCACCACCGGTTCGATTGTTCCCCTGGTTGCGCCCTCATTGGTTCTGCCCCGGGTTCTGGGCTTCTTCGCATCCTGACACTCGTAAGCTCTATGTCCCAAACGGCCACAAATGTGACACGTTACACGATTTCCCGCACAATCAGTGCCCAGATGGTTGTTCGGGCAGATCTTACAATAGTGTCTTACTGGGTTTCGTTGCTCCTGCCTTTGACCATGCCCTCGAAACCTTCTCTCGCCTTGATTGTTTTGGCGTTGTTCGGGACGATCGGTTATGGCCTTCTTCTGCACCTGCTCCACTTCAGTATTCCTTCTCTCCCTCTTTTGAGCTTCTCTTTCTTCTTGGTGTACCTGGTAGTATTTACCAGCTTTTCCGTATGCTTCATTCGAAGTTCGAGGCTCGACCACAGTCACGAACTTTTGGGCGCCGAAGTTAAGCCCTTTAATAAATCTACGTGTTCTTCTAGCCTCGGTGGATACCAAGTCATCGGCAAATTGGGACAACTGGACGAATTTAGTATGGTATTCTTGCACAGTCAAGTCACCGTGCTTGAAGGGAACAAACTTTTCGTAATTTGCCTCCTTTATGTAATCAGGATAGAACCGGTCACGCATCGCCGTCTTGAAGTCTGCCCATGTGAAGTTTGGTTGTTCAAGAAATGTTGGCCCAACAGTAGCCCACCAATGATTTGCCTCCTTATGCAGGTAATACACCGCAATGTTCACTCGTTGCTCCCACGGGCAGTTGATTGAGTCAAAGAGCTTGTCAAACGTGCGTATCCAATCTTCAAGGATGATGTGGTCCTCTTCACCCAAGTATTTAGGAGGGTTCCGCCCGGCTACACGTGTTGCAAAGTCAATCCCATTGTTTTGGGGTTGAGCTGCACCGATAAGTTGCGCCATTTGTTGAATGGTTTGGGCCAGCTCCGCATTGGTTGGAACCGCATGGGGATCTCTCCTTCGTGGCATGATTCTTAAGAAAGGAAACGAGTACTTAAGTACTAAGGTATACATAAGGCTTCTACGTTTTACAAGTTCTTTAATAACTCGAGTACTTATCACATATAAGCATTCAAAGATGTTAGCATACTCCACATAATTCACATATGCATGAATTTCATGCTTTTCATAACTCAATAAAATCGCAAAGGTTTCACCTTCTCACCACGTTCCTAAAAGGCCGTGTTCCTAGTCTGTTCTTTCTCCTAGTTTTTATGAAAACGTTTTGAAAATCCCCACTTTGAAGGTATAATTTCCACGATTTCCTTCAAAGATTTCGAACAATGAAGTTTCAGCACAAGGAGAAATTCCCAGTTGGTTGGACAAGTGCAAAGACTCAATTAAGCACCAACCAGCTCAGACTCTTATTGTCTTGTTGACAGAATTCCTCCCTACGACCTACGAAGTTCTAATCCTTTCGGAAAACCTGGCTCTGATACCAGGTGGTATCAGAGCAACCCTGCGACAGTGTGCTGACCCGTTGGATATCGGGCGGGCACTTAGCGGGGGAGGATTCTAGGATTTGATTGAGATTTGAGAATGGTTTAAGGGCGCAACGAGGACGTTGCGATCCTAAGTGGGGGTGATTGTAACACTTGAGATTAATTTGAAAGGATTAATAGTACTACTCATACCAACAGAGGTGGATCTCCTTTTAAGGGAGCTCATCACCCAAGAACTCCAAAGTTAAGCGTGCTTGCACGGGAGTAGTCTTGGGATGGGTGACCCCCTGGGAAGTTTCCCAGGGCGCGCACGAGTGAGGACAAAGTGCGCGGTAAAAGCTAGTGGCGGTTTGTGAGGACAATACTAGAGGTTTGGAGTAATTACCTCGGACCCTGCGGGGCCGGGGTGTTACACCTGCAGTTCGAACGAGATTTGGTCAAGGCGTAGATTGATTTATCTACTTCGGATTCAGCCATGCGGGTTTTGTTTGGGGTGCTGCAAAGCAGCAGGGCAGGGTAGCGAGGTTGTGGGCTGTTTTGGTGCATGGATGCACATCGTTCGTGGCAGAATCTGGGTTGGAGGCTAGAGGGCTTGGCGGCGAAGAAGATGACCGCTAGCGGCGGTTTCGCTACAAGTGCGGGACGAGGAGAGTGGCACAGGTTTCGAGTAGGCCAGATTTCGGTCAACAATGCAGGATCAATTAGAGTGGTATCGATGGCACGACCTTCTCCTGAACCACCGCCATGAGTGGGTCCATGAAAGTTATTCTATTAGTTATTATAATTTTGTCATTTGGAGTCTTGTAAACGTCTATGTTGTTAGTTTTGTTAGTTTGTTTGAAAATTTAGTCTGTTTTTATGTCGTCAGGAGTATATGGATCTATGGGATAAGTTCGTTCCATAGTTAACGATTTGTGTTGCTCTTTCAGGGATGACTGTCTCAAAGTCTGATCATAGAATTTAGAGTTGTTATTGAAGATTATTTGATGTAGGATTTGATTTTGATTCGATTGATGTAAGACTGCTATAATCCATAGACTAATGACACACCCTACCCTCTCACTGGGATTAGTGGCTGGGGACTATAGGAACGAAGAGCAGCGGACCAATTTTCAGGAAATGAGCTGAGTTTCAGAGAAGGAGAAGAAGCAGGGTTTCTTCCTTAAGCGTCTGGTCTGTTCTGAGGTAAGCAGGTGGCGATTGAGGCTTCGTAGCTCTGTTTTAAATTGCTTCATTCCCGACTCTGGCAGTCGGTTTTTGTGTACGGCCGTTAATGGACGCAGATCGACGTTTATGTGATTTTACGAACTAGCTCGTCGATCCGGCGCTCTTGATGTGATTTCGGATCCCATGCACGATCCTAGAAAGATCGGACCGTCCGACCTTACGTTTCAACCAGCGATCTTAACAAGATTGAGATGGATGATTATTGTTTATAACTACTAGTATATGGGTATTGTGGGATGTGGAAGATTGGAAGGCGTTCTGAGCTTGTTAAATCAATCCCTCCGCTTTAACTCTTCGCTCTTTCTTTCATCCCAAACAAACAAAAGGCTAACAGAGGGGCTGATCAAATTTTCATGCTAATCTTACCTGGATTTGTAAATTTCAAACATTTTTATTTTTATTTCCACTTAAAATTTGACCCCTTGAGGATGAATTGAATTGACATTTCAGGTGATTCGTCAGGACCTGCTTGCATCATGAGCGAATCATTTACCATTCAGATCAGTAATGATTTAGTCAACAAACTTTCTCATGAAGGTCAGAAGTTCAAGAAAAGATCAAAGCGGCCTAAACCAAAGGTATCAAACAATTCATGGTCAAAGGCACATCAAAAGCCTGTCCCTGAAGAGTCAAAGACACCATTGTTCATACCACTTCCTCCCCTTAACCAGCCATTGATTGCAGAGTTAGATGCTATCAGATGTGCAGTCCAAGAGAGTGAGAAGGTGGTGGAGAGGTTGCAGAAGATGGAGGAGAACATGCTAGAGGAAGTAACACAGAGGGCAAAGGATCTCCATGAGAAGGAATTCAAACTTCCTGACAACAAGACAATCCCGTGCCTTAAGGAAAGAGATGATTGCACAAAATGTTACAGGGAAAATGAGAAGAACCCTCTCAAATGTGCCATTGCTGTTCAGAAATTTGCAGAGTGTGCCCGAAGAGCCAGGCAACTGATGATGATGAGTTCAGCAGGTTATAAGGGATCATCAGAGTAGGGATCTTCTAAGACCGGAAATAAATTGAATTCTTGTACCTGCGGAACTCGGTTGACCCTCTCAATATGCTTGGTTTATACATGAAATACTATCCGAGTTATGAATTCTGTTTTTGTATGGAAAAGTTTATCTTGTGACATACGGAGTATATATGACAAGTTACTTGATATGTTTGCCATAAACAATTCACTTTACAGGGTACATGAAACAGGGATTTCAATATATTCAATTTATTTATAAATTATGAAAAGAACCTAGAGCGCATATATACATACACACGGCAGATGATAGATCAACTTGGAGCCATTTACATTACTACTCGACACCAAGAGACCTTCATCAAGCAGCAGCAGCCTTGCACACTGGCAAGTCCTTCTCCTGATTTGGCGGGAAGCCCAGAATTGGATTGCTCTCAAAGAAATTAACTGGTTTTAGATCAAAGCTTGATGTTACGGTCGGCATGATTGGGAAGTCCTCCTGGCATGGGACATGATGGAATCCTAATGTATACCACACCACTATGTCCTTGTTCTCAATTTCCCTGTCTCTGCATGTATATACATATATATATTCTCAATTACATTCTGGAGATGAATTTTACCGTAAAAATTACATAGAAAAATTGCATGTTTATTCCCTTCTTACCTTTCAGACCATACTGCAAGGGTATCATCACCGTGGCTCTGGTAAGCATACACACCACCCGCAAACTGCTCACTCTGGTTATAAGGAGTGACCCATATTTGGTTATTCGTGAATGCGCCTCTCATCTGCGGCGGATCATTGTGATCAAGAAGACTAGCGGCAGTCCCTGCAGGGACAATCTTGTATCCGACGGGGTTCCCGACGCGGGTCCTGTTGTTCGGGTTAATCACATGGAACTCTGATGGGTCATGCAGGTTCAACTTGATCTGTGCATCTTTTTCTGTCTTCGCTACATTCCTCACCGCTTTTATATAGCTTCTGCGTGGTGAATAACCCGGGGATGTGCGTTCTCTTTTTAGGTTTACTTTGACAAATGAGTTGTTCGACCCATCCATAATGTCCATATCTAAGTAGAATGTGACATAGTGATCATGGATGACTCCAATTACGTTCTCTGACAAGAGGGTGCCATAGAGGTACTCTTCCTGGTTCACTTGGTTCATGTTCACATATGGTGTGCCTTTAACCATCAGTATGCCACTCAGCCCAACCTAGAATCATCATTATAAATGGAGAAAACTATCAATTTGGTTCTCGTACTATCACAAAAACGCCAATTAAATACTCATACTTTAATGAAAATCAATCAAATCTCTAAAAACTAAAAAACGTTCAATTGTGTCAATTAGCAAGATGTTTGCCATGTTAGCAGGTCGTTTCCATACCATATATGTGCCACATCACCAAAGTCACTACTGATTGGGCTGCCATATGACTAAATGACCATTGAGATAGGTGGGGGGGGGGGGTGGAGGTTGGCACCTCCAATGACTAAATGACCATTGAGATAGAGAGTATTTTATAGGGGTGGGAAAAACCGAACCGAAACCCGGAAACCGACCCTAGACCGACCTGAATTATGATCCCGGTCCGAACCGAAAATTCCGGGCTCATTAACGGGCCTTCAAATCTATAACCCGGCCCAGACCGAAAAAACCCGAAACAATTAGTTTTAATATAAAATTAATATATTATATGAATATAAATGAAATATTTCCTAATACGATAGTATATGATTATAATCACGGTGGATAAAAAAAGATTTAGTAACTTTTAATGACTACAAATATGTTGAATTTGTTTAGCGTAATGATGACCATGAGAATATATTTATAGCAACTCTCTAGCAACTTTTTGATTGATAAATTTATTTCGTAATATTTTTAAGAAACCTATATTATTTATATATATACATCTTACATAAAATATTAAGATAATTATCTTCTTTAAATTTGAATTGTTGATGATTTTGGAGACTAATATTGTGTTATTATTTGCGGTTTGTATTTTTGATTAATTTTATTTGAAAATAAGTGTTAAAATATAAAAGAACAATGACATATTTCACGGCCGGGCTTTAACCGGTCCAACCCGAATCCGGACCGAACCCGGGCTACCAAAAACCCGACTCGGACCGAATGTAATGGGCTTTGTTCCGGTCCCTAATTTTCATAACCCGAGACCTTCCACGTAATTTCCGGGTTTAGCAAAAACCCGACCCAGACCGGACCGATCCCACCCCTAGTATTTTATGTCTTTTTTGGTTGGATGGAGAGTATTGTATAAAGAGTAGTGATCCTAACCCTCTGTTCGGTCAAGGCCATTTGGGATCCTTACCATACGAGAATCAAGTTTATGCCCATCAAATTTCACTTTAAAATTTATCGGGAATGAAGCTAAATAAATAATTTAAAAACATTCCATTTAGCATTTCAATGTCAATTTTAATTTTGATTATATTAGTGATTCATTTAAGGGAAAAATAAATAAAATACCCCGAACATTGAAGAGGTGTGACATAAACACCCCAAACTTTCATACGTAATTAAAATACCCCAAACTTTATATAAAAAGTTATTTAACACCATGATCATGTATTATTTTTTAAAAAAATGTAAACTTGTGGTGTTAATTGCATAATTTAAAATAGCAAATTGAAAACGTTGTAATTATATAGAGTGGAGGGTGATACTATTTATTTTACAATTAAAGTTTAGAATGTTAGTTGTATCTTCATGAATGCTAAAATATTTTAAAATATGAAATTAACACAAAAAATTAACATTTTGACAGAAATAATACACGACCATGGTGCTAAAATAACTTTTTATGTAAAGTTTGGGGTATTTAAACTACATATGCAAGTTTGGGGTGCTTACCTAACACCCATTCAAAGTTTGGGGTGCTTACCTAACACCCATTCAAAGTTTGGGGTATTTTATTTATTTTTCCCTTCATTTAATTATAATAATTAGGAGCAAAGGGAGAAGGGATTCTCATATATATGATTTTTATGGGAAAATCGTACTTTTAGTCACTGAAATAGTCACGAAATGAAATGTCGGACCCGTATTTCTGATATTTTAAATGTCACCCCTCAAGTGTCCAAATTGTTGTAAATGTGGTCCTTTAAGGCGTGAAATGTTCTCTCGCCCACATTGTATAATTGAGGGA